TCAGTAAGGGGGCTAGCTTCTCCCTAATACGAGCCACCCATTTCTAGGATGCGGTATGTGCGCAATCCCCCTACCAAAATAACGCATAGGCGGCACAGACAGTAGTAGTGAGGTTTTTAATGTGAAAAAAGAAGCATCACTTTACCTTCTTTTATCCATCGAGATATTTTACCTAGGATTAAACGGGTCGATCTAGACATCTTAACAGAAGTACGAACGTCTCGCAGTTCTTGCTCCAACACCTTTAAAGCTGATACAGTTTGAAATACAAGATCTACTCTTAAAATACACTGATTTTCTTTCCAAAATTATTCTCTTACGCGAATCGCCTGGATTTTGTATTGGACAACAGTTGCTATTGGCCAAATGAGAGCGGTTTCTCAGGCGAGTATTCAGATTAAAAATAATTTGTTTTTTATTTAGTATTGAATCGATTCTCACTCCAGGATGTTGACGGCAAAATCTTGGAGTACTTTATCATAAGGTTTCCTTCTAGGGTAGTCCACGGTGATACGTACCCACTCCACCAAAACTTTTTTGTTTACAGACCCTTTGTACGCGTCTCTCCTTTTATTCTTTTTCAATTTTTCCTTCATTCATTTTTCATTCGTCTCTGACATCTATAAAAAACAAACTTTATCGAAAGCATAATGTTATGGAGGGCATAGGTCTTAATGCTTTACGCCGTTTTTTCTGAATGTAGCCGCATTTTTCTGCAAACTTCTAAACAGAATTTCCATTGCCCGAACACGCACTCGATCACAACCCGCATCTTTTTGTATGTCCTCCTAACTCGGCGTTGTGCCCGGTCATGAAGGCTCCTGTATGGGGTGAGAATCTCGTTGCTATTTGAGAACAGAAAAGACTCCTCTTGCGAATGCGTTATGGACGCGCCATATCTGCGTACATTAGCATCACGGTCAGAACCTGAATAGTTGCTGTTTAGGTTCATGAATCTGAGGCGGACGTTAACAACGGCAATGACGTTGATGGCACAGAATCCTTTACGGCAATAGTATTCTTATCCTGAATTGGCAGGCCTTGGGATGGGAAAAGTGTGCCTCGATGACTCCCGCGATGTTCGGAGGCCTTCAATCGTGCAAAGCTATCGACATTCCTTCGGCAGTAGCCCGCGTCGTTGTGATGGCACAAAGGAAATTCTGCACTACTTCCAGGTGGTTCAGCGCCTTCATTACGTCCACCACGGCGTTCGACAATACTGTTTTCTGGCAAACGCCAATTGTGTCCGTCAGAACGGTTTGATGGGCATCCGTTGTAAGGCACAGGAAACATGATGACCTGAGTCGCTGATCAGCTTAGTTTTCTGCAGTTTCATGCAAGCTGATGACGCATTACTTCATTTATCAATTTTTTTCATTTTCTAAATAATACTGAGTTACAGTCTCGGTACTGGCTAAGGGCAATGTGACTGTGGCTAACCATTTTTGGAAAATTTCAATTTCTAAATGTATTTATTAACAGAGCCTATGCAACTA